AAGAATGTTACTAGTTGAAAGACACCAACACATTATTATGCAAGTGCCAAAAGTTGTTTAATCAGGAGCACACACTTCAACACCAATTGTATACATAGATAGATAAGACTTTATTAATCCCGTAGGGAAATTGATGTGTTACAGCAGTCTAACCCAAGACAAGCAAAAACAGACATCAGAATAGTTATAAAACAAAAGACAACAAAATAAATATAAAATAAATAAATAAAAATAAATACATAGGTATGTGCAAAATGTGATGATCATAGTCATATTATTAGTATATTATATTAGTATATTAGTATAGGTTTACTAATAAAACTAAGACCCATTGGGCTGCCACCACATTTAAGACCCTACAGTATATGTCTGTAGAATATTGTAAAAGACTAGTGAGTGGTCAGCTCATGGCTGCAAAAATAAGAGTGAATTTAGGGATGGCAGTCAAGAAGAATGAATATGGTGCTTCCAAACATTTGAACGTGTATGAGTGCCAAGTCTTGACTGTAAGTGGAAAAAAAATAGAAACATTTCTCCAAAAACTGTTTGACACCCAGTCAGCTCGAGACGGAGGGATAAATATTCTGGAAACTGCTTTGTTTTCATTTGCATAATTTATTTAAATTACTGAAGCTGCAAGAACTATCAGACTCATCAAGGTTCCTGTCCACTGAGCCAGCAAAATAGAAGCGAGGGAAGACGAAAGGCATCCCACAATTGTCTCCAGGAGTAGCTGGAGAATGAATGGGACGTAGTGTGAAATTATGTGCTGAGGAGATATCATAATTCTCATTTAGATAATTAAGATCACTTAGGGTCTGTGGATTTCTCAATCCACAGCAGAAAAAACACATAAAGGAGACAAAGGTATAGAAACTTTTCTGAGGAGCAGTCGGATATCCATTCTCTGAAAGCGCAGGTGTTTTTTTGTAACTGTTACATTATTCAGTACAACCCATGTTCTGCACTCAAAGACTAAACTTTAACTCCCGCCTGTTGAAGGCAGTATGAAAAATTCCTGCTTTCTTAGTAGTTTGCATTTCTACCTAAAATATATATGTATTGCTTATTGTGTTAAAACAGTTGTGCTGACGTGCTTGTGTGTACTCTCAGTTCTATTGTAAAAAAATGTCTTTTTGCCTTTAGGAAAGCTGTGTTAGACAAGAATTAAAGTTATACGAGAAGTCAGCAGGGTCAAAAAAATCATACATAAATATATATTGGAAATTTGCTGATGCTTACATTTTAGAAAATAATGCATCACAGAGATGAGACATCTAATGCAGCATGCAGACTTAGGCCACAAGTATTATCTAGGGAAATCATAAAAAAGTGCTGTCCATCAATTTTGTTGGTAAAAATTGCTTTGAAGTAGAGTATGGTACTTAAAAAGAGTATGATCAATAATGTGCCGAGAAACACTTGGTATTTCCTGCATAGGAATTGGAAATGGGAATGCTATTTGTCTCCTGCAGCTGTAACATATATCTATATTTTCTTTGAATAATCATCAAGAATAGTGTTGTTTAATGTCACACACATTGACTTTGCCATATGGATCTTAAATACAGATACACAAATAAAATGATAAAATGCCATCGGCAGTATTTAACAAGATTCATGGAAGTTCATTATCATATATTTTGGTAGTAGCCATTGGTGGAAGTTGGAGCACAACATTGAATGTTTTTCTTTTATTTTCCTGTTGGTACTCATACACTCCATAGTCAAAATATTAGGAACCCACAGTGGTTTGCTTAAGGAGCATGGGCCAAAACTATTTTTTCAACCTACTCTAGGCCAGACAAATGATCTCATTGCTGCTGAGTACTGATGAAACTTGTGAAATGCAGTTTAAAATGCAATAATGCACAATGCAGTTTAATCCCACACACTGATGCCTTCATCACCACCTTAATTGATGTAGATCCTGCTAGAATAAGTGGTTCTGATTTGCAAATATTCACAAGCTATGTCCTCTGCAAGCTATTCTTGAAACATGCAGATACCCAATACATTATTCAATGACTTTCCTAATATTTACCTGGTATGTGGACAGGTACAGACTGCGTACATTATCCATGCAACCATCTATTTTTTGACAGTCTCTTATTTCTGCTAAGGGTCAATGCAACCTGTAATCTGGAACCTGTCCCAGAATCTTAGGGTACAAGGTGAAACCAATTAGCTGCCAATTAGCCTAACCAGCTTGTTTTTGAGAGGTGGAAGAAATTGTTGCACATGGAGGAAACTCCCGGGGAGAACATGCTATGTGGAAAAAATCAAGTTTGTCTAAAATCTATACCTTATTAATGGGTGATTGTTTATAACATGTCACAGTTGAGGACTGCTGTTCGTTCTGCTATCTGCAGTAGTGACATGCTATGGTGTGTTTACTCAACTGTGGCTCCGATCAGAGTGAAATATGAAACACTGTTTCTCTTTAAAATTTCAAACACTTGCCTATTTGAAACAGTCACAGATCAGTGCTTTTTGAAGAATGCAGTGTAATTAGCTTAGATATATTTGTTCTCCTTTGAGGAGTCAGCTTTCTCATTTATAGCAAGGTATTTGTAAGCTACTCTGACCTCCTGAAATCTAAATCTTTTTAAAACCATATTAAACTAGATCTGAATCCTCCTACTTTTCAATGTAAATTTTAACAAGTCAACACATTTTTAATTGTATGTTTAAAAGCTTTAAGGTCTTCATGTATGATTTCTGTCCATACACTTGACCTCTCATCTGCTCAGTTGTAATGTTGGCCCTGCTACTGTTCCGCAGGGCAAGCTAGCGTGTCAATACAGCTGGTGATGTCATCGTCTTCTGCGTCCCTTGGCCGGTTGCCATGGAAACAGTTTACCTGGGAACTCCAGGCACCTGGAATCGGTTTATGGCCATGCCCGTGCCTGGTGTTCTGTAACAATAAATACTGTACTTGGATCTGGCAGGGCACGGGGCTCTGTCATTGTGTTTTAAACGGAGCCCCCCTCGAGCTTGGTTTCCGTGTTTTCCTGGCTTCCTCCCTAGTTCCGCTTGTTGGTCTTGTGACCTTGGCTTGCTTTGCAGCTTCTATGGCTTGTTATTCTCTTGTTTCTAGGATTCCCTAGGGCTGGGTATTCTCTTGTCTCGTGGCATCCCTGCGGCCGGGTATTCTCCCAGTGTACTTGGATGGATTACTCTCTATGACCATGGTTCCATGGTTGGGCATGGTGCCGCTTCTCATTGTGTGCGTTTGCTCGGTGCACTCGTCCGCTCCGAGTGTGTGTTCTCCATCATGCCCAGTCTCAGGAATGCGGAGCTCTGGAAGCCGGCCCCCGAGGGCCCGTGAATGGGCTGGGGGGTCAGGCGTCCGTGCATGGTGCTGCAGCCGGCCGAGGAGCCCGGCTTGACTGCTCTTCGCCTGAGATGGGGCTCTCTCCCTTTGGTGGAACGCACAACGAGTCCCAGACCTGCAGCGCATTCTTACACTCAGCTTTCACATAGCTAATTGGGAGTGGAGCATGAAGCACTGTGCAGACCTCATGGCTCACATTCAGATGGATAAAAGAGTGTCCTTGTTCAATGAAATAATCAAGTACAAACTTTGTATGTAAGGAGCATTTGCATATTTTATGGGGGTTTAAAAGTGTTTTAATATTGAGCCCGTATGAGGTTTAACCTTCTCTTTGATGAGACTTTTCTGGTGAATCCAGTACTGGAGAACTGTTAGTGAAGTGTTTTTCAGAAAGGATGAGCTATTCTGGTTCTTGAGAGCCCGAGACTTCTTCAATTGACTTTCGAACTCTGATCTTAATTGCTGAATATAACTAATTATTTCAGTGAGTAATATTTTGTCATCTTAATGATTTTCTGTTTTAGAGAGTATTACACACTCCTATCAGGTTACTTCTGTTGGCCTACATTTGCATTCTTTCTGTTTTCCACAATAATCAAGTATTTTGGTGTTGCTTCCCCAGACAAAAGGAATTAATTTCCATCTATTACCATGAGAACATCATTGTAAAAAAGTAATTTATTTTTAAAATTAAGATAAGAAAATAAAGACAATTATTTTTGGTGGGAATGCACTAAAGCTGAAAGCACACATTCAGTGCTAATTTGAGTCTAGTTAGTGTAAAGCAACAGTTTTGTCATATACCAGAATATTTCAGAGATGCATTTTAACGGCTTGTTTGATTTCATTTGAATGTTACGACATGGAAATGAGAGAAGTCATTAGATTCTGCCAGTGTAATTGGGATGTCATTCTGACAAGTTGCTTTTGGTCTAAAGCAGCTGACTTACCTGTGATGGGGTCATATCATTATGAAATGCTTGTTAAAAATAAAGCAGAGATTTGATCTGACAAAAAGGTTACTGAAAGTCAGTTGATGTGATATTTTACTTGAAACTGGTGGATGTAATGTCTGTCCAGTGATTTGACAGAATTTTTTATTCATTTTATGTCTAGAAAATGATGGTCTACTGAGAGATTATTAATAATTACTTTGTAAGATCAGTGATGTCCAGAATCCAGATATTTGATCTGCACCACTGTAACAGCACAGCTAAACTTACTGGCTTATGGTTCACTGGCTTTTTACTGCATCTCGTATGATGTGTGATGTATTAATGAAGAAGGGGGATTTACAGTTTTTATCGTTTTAATGTTTATATTTACAAGTGCTTTGCCAAAGAATGTCGGAGATATGTGATGGAGCTTTTCATGGAGCAATGTAGGTCTGAAATAGGAAATGATTTTTGAAAGAGTGGAGCTTCTGCACATCATCTTATTGATCACAGTGGTACATTTTTCTTTTTAGGTGAGGCAGGAGTTCATAATGAGTTCCTTTTCTTGTTCAGTTGTCTTATTTCTTTTTCTTGGTATGATTATCAGCATAGATGTCATTCCCTTTTAATGAATAAAAAAAAAATCCTCCCCCAAAGCCATGAAACTCCCTGCAGGATTGCGATACCCTGGTGTCTGAGCTATTTTTTTTCTTTTGTTCTTTCTCCAGCCGGCTGTCCAGACTCCCTGATTAAAGAGCTTCATCATTTCCGTGCTCTTGGAGAGGAGCAGGTGAGTTACTTGCAGAGAGCCGGCAACTACAGGCTACACAGGCAGCGCTCTAATGAGACAGGGTCCTCCATCCTCAGGGAGGCCCGGCGCATCCTCTGACCCTGCCGGCCGGCTCCCAGTGAGACGCGAGAGACGTGGGAATGTGTTTTTGTTCTTTCTGTCAGACTTGACAAGCTCTTAATTGCTGCATCTGCTACGTAGTGCTGCATCGTCCCTCCACCTGTCCCTCCCTCCACCTTTGCTATCACACAGTCCTCAAAAACAGTCATTCTTGCACTAAATTGTTTCTTTTTCCTGTGCCTAACTGCTACTGCAGTGTTCATTGAACCCTACAGGAATTGCAGGAATGTCAGTGTACCTACTGTAAGCTGTTTATTCTTCATCTTTTATGCTCCTTCTGTTCTGAGGATTGCCACTGGAGCTGACTGACACCAATCTCTTTACAGCAAATTAGTACCTCTGGAACCTGTTTTAGATTTTTAGCACTGTTTCAAAGGAAAACCGAGCAAATTCACATTTTTCACAAACACCTTATTAATAATCTTCTCGACAACAATAACCTTTGTTACAGTGACAGAAGTACTTAGTATCCTTCATATTACTACGATGCCCACAATTGTGTTAAGAGTGCATAAGAAATCAGAGTAGTACATTTTTCCCAAGAGACGATGCAACAGGCAATGTGAATAATAAAATAACTATAAGAAATAGAAACATTAAATCAACATGGTTAAAAATTATTTAATTGAAACCTGACGTTGTAAGTGAACCCAAAGTACTGTCACAGATATAAATCACTCCTTGATTAAATCCACAGACATGGAGAACCTCTCATTTCCCCTGCAGAATCAGTTAAACACCTGAGATAACATTAGTTTAAAGCCAGAACATAAAAATATTAGGAATAAAACATTAGTAATACATCATTTCTAAGTGATTTTGGGGAAGGTGAGCAATTCTGCAGGAAATTTCCAATTTTCTGTTAGTGCCAGCAGGCCTTAAACTCTTTGGGCTTTTGTTCATTAACCTTTAGACACAGCAAGAATTTTCTCATCTAGAGATCAAAGTGAACTTTTATTAATTAAGTCAGTTAGACCTCATTTTTTAAATAATGTGGAATATGAAAGCACATGCATTTAAATTTTTCACCAAAAGTTGACAGTGTAGGCTCGTGAAACAGAGCTTAGTTTTTAAAATAAAACACGGTCTTAATTTTCCTTAATGTAAAATCTTGTTTTTAATTATTTTTTGGCATATTTGTTTTTTTTCTCACTGAGATGTGAGAAGCCTGATCCAGGTTCTAGCATTACACGATGCTGTTAACAGACATGTGTTATTTTTCATGATTTGAGTATACCGACCATGCTTTTCACAGGTGCTTTTGAGAAGGGATTCTTCTTTATCTACTGAAACTGGAGAAAAATAATTGAAAACCACTTATTATAAAATGTAATTTTAATGTATAATTAGTTAATAGAGCACAGTTTAAAGTTTTAAGGGATTCCATTTTTCATTTGATAAGTAGGAATTGTAATTACAGGTCATTTAATTCTAATTAAATAACATTGTAAATGTAATCTTGGCTCAAATCTAAGCACAAATATTGCTTAGGTAAATATTGCTGATTCTAAAAACATGGCTCCCCATGTCTTACTAGCATTGTATAAGTAAGGAACTTGTAATTTTTCTATTTTGTCTATCACACTAGCAGTGTTGAAGACCTGAAAGTTTAACCTCCATCAGAAAAAGAAGGTTCTCTCTGTCGCAACTACAGGAATGCTGTATTTCATGAAGCCATTTGATCGCTTGTGGGAAAAATAATACAGAAATGAAAAACACTGCAATGCAAGAGTACAGGATTCTGCCTCCATTTGGCACTCTGAGTCATTATTACTGTTACCAGATCAATAGAGCATGAATCTTTCCTGGTCTTACCCGTTAATAATATGGTTTGACCCATTCCTGACATTGAGACAGGACGATGGCAGTGTGTCTTAGTCTTGTCATTGAGGGTATTCACCAATAAATTGGGCTTCCAGGCTACCACCCCCACCTTCCTCTAAGTGCCACTATAAGCTCTTACAAAGGATACACATTATACTGCCTGTCTCCCACTGCAGAATGATTTACACGTATGGAAAAGCATGCGATTCTACACATACTCGCACCAGAGATCAGAGATCTGAGATCTGGCATTCAAAAAACGTCCATCACTTTTGATTGACACCTCAACCCTTTTATAAAATTTCTCGAAAAAAGTCAAAGAAATTACTGTATGGCAGAAAAAAGCTTCTAAAGCTTGAGGCAGTTATATCACGAGTAATGCAATTTGCTTTCTTAGCTAAATTGTACCACTGTTTCTGGTATCATTCAAACAACACAAAGCAGGCCAGGGTCAATGAGAACATCTGATGATTGTCGGTGAGGTGTTTTGCCATGGGGACAGCCTGTCTTCTTCTGCATGTGCCGCAGTATGAGCGCTACCAGCGGTACGGAGCAGAGGAGTGCGTGCTGCAGACGGGGGGAGTGCTCTGCCCGGCGCCAGGCTGTGGGGCCGGATTGCTGCCAGACCGCGGACAGCGCAGAATCGAGTGCCAGCGGAGCAGCGGTCTGGGCTGTGGGGTAAGGAGGTCAGGGGGCTGACGTGAAGACAGCCGCGATGGTTCCATATGCGTATCAAGCTGGGAAGCAGCTCGAGTTAGCTTCCCTGCAGGAGCATGTTTACTCCACACATGAAGGTACAGATACAGTTGTTCAAACAGGCCAGCTAAGGATATAATCTTATTCATACACATAAGTTTGAATGCTAAAACAGACCTTCAGCAATCACAGTATGTCCTCTTGTCTTGACTAGTGGCTGTGTGCTTAATACTTAAAAATATGTCCATCATTCCACCAGTTTGGCTGCAATCATTGAGTACAGAAAACCTGTATCGGCTGCTGAGTAATATTTGAGGACATGAAGGCCCGATTCTCCTTGCAGAATCACCGAAAGCAGGAAGGGCTTTTGGTAAACAGCAGTGTGCTGTTATACTCAGGTTGAAGCTTGAGTGACATCAGGAATGCAGCAACAGGATCAGCCAGTTCGTTTCTTTGCAAGATGAAACAGAAAGCAAGCTAAAAGATTAAAAAAACAATAGAAAGCAAGTTAGCTAGCAAGCTTAACAAAGACATATGAAACGTGATTGACTTTCAGTTACAGTCATTCTCAGTAATTTCGTTAGTTTCTTCAAATGGAAATTGGTGCAGGCTTTTATAGCTGGAGCTGGGTGTCCAAGGTAGATTGACTGACTGATTGACCGTTCATGGCGAATGCACATCTCCATCAGTGAGAGCCTTATACTCTAGCCCCACTGCTGAGCAGGTTGCAGTGTTAATAGCAAACCCCTATTGTGAGATGCCCTCCTGTGGAACTACCGTTAAGCTAGCAACAGTAGTTTAAAGTGGCCACGTGTTGTGCAAATCACAGAATTTAAAAGGGCTTGATGCACAAAGTGATGCCTTTCGTAGAAACGATTATGTCCTCATGCTTTTCAAACGGATGCCATAAATCCGATGACCTCATCAGAATACATGAGCTTGCCGTCTTTCCTTCAGAGATTAATATTCATACGTTTCACACTTCTCTGTTTCCTCTGAGAGCTCGAAATCACTTTAATTTCAGTTCAACACAATGCAATTAAACTTTAATTATGATGCAGTTTCCAGAATGTATTCAATTGCATAGGCGATTAAAGAGCTGGGTCTAGTTCATGTCAAATTAACAGTGGGTAATTATTTACTCCCAGTTTGTTTGTGTTTGTTGCTGTTGCTTAAGTTGTAAAGTATGTATGTAAAGTAGGTTTTCTTGTCATTTTTAGATATGCAGCAGGGTTGTATTACACAGAGGTGGCAATTCAAATTGGACAATCCCAGAGATGCTTAAAATAGAAGAAACCATAAACATGTTCTAAGAATTAAAGTTTCTTCAGCAGTTGCTGTTAGTTCTGACTGTTTAGTCATCTGTTTTTTTTACCTACTCTCATTTAGAATGTTGATAATGATAGGAGTCCTCTAAGTGTGTGTTAGCCTAGTGTTTGTTTGTCCCTGGGGCTATTATATACAGATCTGGTGCTAGTTGATTCAGTGTAATGATGCCCAATAGCTGAGAGTCAAGAGAGTCATTGTGCCTTATGTTCTGCCTAATTCTGTAGCTGTTTACAAAACTTCTGATACAGAGTATCAGTGTAAAATTTGGATCCAATCTTCTTAACATGTCTTGGATATTTTCTCATTTAAAGTTCAGCTTTCATTGATTTGTATCAATTTTTGTATCCTCCTTGTCTTTTGTAGACTTTTATTTATCGAGAAGAAATCATTATTTGAAAGAGGAAGGTAGAGCTTCCCAGATGTTTTCAAATAGACAAAAACTTGGATCTCCCCCAAATCTGTGCTGAGAATGAAAACTCAGTCAAGATTCCAAAACTGCTGTAATTGGAATTGGTATGCAAACTGTGAAGCATGAACAGGTACAAAAATATTCAACAACAGGAGATGTGTACACATGCGTATTTCAGGCAACAATGTATGCCTATAAGTTAGAAGGCTTGTTATTAACTGAGAAAGAGCATTTTCTGAGTAACCTGTTCAAGCTGAATGTGCACCTAATGCAGAAAATTACCTTAAAGGTGTGCCTTGCAATTAAGAATATATAAGGAACAGTCTAATGACATTCTTAGAAGGATGAAATTTAATTTGGCATGATATTGGAATGAATTTACTTGCAAATGATTTGGATGAGTTAACATCACAATGTTAATGCTTACTGCTGCAAATAAACCATTACAATGCATCACTGTTGTGTACAATTTCTTCTTGCGGAGAGAATATAGACTTGGCTTGTGGGATTCTGTTACCATGCTATAATTTAAACAGAGTACTCATGATTTAGTGTTTCTTACTATACCACAGAGCAGGCGTCAGTAAACCCCAGCATATGTATCTTGCCACATGGAGATGATATACCTGGCTCTCAGAACACTTTCTGGAGCCTCTTGGATTTCACATGCAATATTTAATACAAATATAGGCTAATTTTCAGTTCTATTTATAATTCATAAATGTGAGTCTGATCCATAAACTGTGCTAACAAAAAGGTGTGTCACTTTTTCTTGTGATGATTCAATCTTGTACTGTTTATCACAGTAAAAAATGCAGATGTTATAATTTCTACCATAACAAAAAGTCATTTTCTGACAGCCAAACAGTCAGTCAGTAATATGTAATAATAATGCAAATACTACCTAATTATGGGTGGTAAAGCATTTCAATAGTCAAAGGTTCCAACAAGCATGGATAGAGTGATTTAATTTTCAAATTGAAAGCCTTATTGTTTGTGTGGTGCCTTAAATAATTGTACATAAAACTTACACATTACAATACATTTCTGTCCTCTTGTTTAATGGATATTAATATTCTGTTAATTTTAAGTGCTGTAATTTAGTTGTCCGTTTGCAGTTTGTGTTACTGTTCGGTGAATGAAGTGCTACAACTAATCACTGAAAAGACTGCTGTTTATACAGCATATTTTATTCATTGTGTGTATGAAAACATAATGAAATCTTTATTACCATTCTCCACACCCCTCTTAGCCTGGCTAAAATGGATTCTAATACAATCTACCAGTGTGACACACAAAATGAGGTTGCTGACCACTGTGTTAGAGATACATAATTCTCCTACTAAAAATGACAAAATCTTCAGACTTTATAAAAACATTCATGTTTATAAAATCTATGTACTGTATATAAATCTTCAATGTTACCATCAATAATATGTTTACTAATGAAGAGATGTTTACTTTTCTCTTGATAATAATGCAAACAGGTATCTTGTGTGCCATTCTTAACAGGAGGCCTTCTTATCATGCCAACACATGGCCCAGTGTAACTATCCTGAACATTGTCAAGGAACATTTTCCCTTGATGTCGCAGGCACGCTGCCAGTGGTGCAGTAGCAAGAGACTACTTAGCAACGTTATCTAACTTGTCAGCATTTGTGTCAGTGGGTACTTCTGTGTCAGACTAACCCGCTGCCTCCAGTCAATGGATACAGCCCGTGGGCATTTCAACATATCCTCACTTAACTCTCTGACCCCAGAGTGCTAAGAAATCATAAATCTTTCTTCTGAAGTTGGAGATCTACAGCAGGTAGAATTATTATTGAACACTTTCATGGTATTATTGTTTCGTATGTTTGTTTAACTGATGACTTTATAAAAAAGGAGCGTATAGTCAAAACAACTGTCAAACTGTCAAAAATAGTAGAAAAATAGAGAATTATAAACAACAACTAGTCAGTTGATGTGTGAATTAATCATTGTGCTCTCCAAAAAACGATATAAGGTGCAGAAATGACTGCAATACTAAGATAAATCATGGCTTTAAAATTGTAGTATACAGCAAGTCAATCAAAAGCAACACAAATGGTATACAAATAACAACAACTTAATATGTAATTGTATTCTGAAAATGATTGAGTATATATTATGAGGATAATATTGTAATCACCCAATACTCATGCTAAATAATTGGATGTCTAAAATTCTAAATTAATTTCTAATGTACCATTATAGATGTCTATGATTTTTTCTATATTCTCTACGCATTTGTAGCATTTTTACATATAATACATCTTAGCATCTATGATGCATATAAGCATCTTGTTCTACTTTCATTTTTATTATTACAGTTGTCATTTCCTCTTTTGTTTTCAGAACGTAATACCTATAATAATACTAAACAAAATCATTTGCACTTCTGAACAGGGGCTCTGAATGTCTGCATTTACCAGTCCGTTCACTGCTCTGTATCCTCTAAAACAGGCTAAAACACCTCAGAGCCCAGCAGAGTCTGAGGGGAGTGCTCTTCCTCCAATAGCTCTCAGTGTGCTGTCAATTAGCAGTAATTATTCCACCAGGGTAGGCTAATTTATTCATGAATTCTGGTGGAATTAACAGATGTAAAATCAGCTAATTACGACTAGAAAGTCGTAAGGAATCTGAAATGTAAAGTAGGATGGTAATTCATGAAGTAAGGGGATGAGCCACAATTAGTGTTTAATGCTGTTTTTCCTATTACTTTTTGGGGGGTTAGATTTCACGTCACTAATACAACCTTGGCTTTGTAAAGGACAGATAATATTAGGACCACAGCAACCATGAAAACTTCTTTACAACAAATACAAATTTGATGTTAGAAAAATCAGCCTTGTAACGGGGGGTTAAAGTATGTATCTGCAGTACATACAATATTGGATGTAGTTCATAACCAAACAAACACAAGGACAAGGTAGACCTCAGTTTGAATTGATTCAATGAATTTGATTCAGTGGAGTTATTATGGAGCTAAGTGCTTTTACAATAGCAAATATGGTTGGAATATTTTTATTTTGACCAGCTCATCTTTCAGTTTGAAGTCATGTTCCTTAAATGTTGTAAAATAAAACACAACAGTAATGCCTTTTACCCACTTTAACACATTTGCCATTTAATACTTCACCCCTCTTTTGTCTTGTTTGATTTGAAAACAGTTTGCATATATGAAAACAGTAAAATATGAAGGAATTTCATTTTAAAATGGATG